TGAATTGTCCTCTCAGTTCTTCCTCAGAAGCCCTAACTTGAAGCCTGTGGCCTGGTGATAACTCTTATCTGATGATCTGAAGCTCTACCCTGCAGAGGAAACCTCACACCCAGCCCTTCAAGCTCCTGGGATGGAAGTTTGGAAATAACACATCTGGAGACCCTGCCTTGGGCTTTTGGAGGCTGACATCAGGGGCAAGGTGGGACTGAGGTTCCCTGTATCTATAGTGGGAGATCCCTTCCATCTTCTTCAGAAGCACTACTTGGAAACCCAGGAGGATCTGGGATTCCTCCCTCCCCTATCCTGAGTCAGGCCCCCTCAGATGATCCTGGGCTTCCCTCAGACTCCATTGATGGGGTCAGGAAACACCACATTTAGGGACCATGTCCAGGGTTTCTCTGGGTCAGGTAGGACTGGGACTCCTTCATCTGAGGTTGGAGGTCCCTCAGTCCTTCCTTAATGTCCTGCCTTTGATGACTTGCCAGGATCAGAGAAAAAAATGCCAAATTGAAAAAGCATTAATCTCAAATACAAAAAGATACAAGAAAATTTAATGAGCTAGAATTAGGCAAAGAGCCCTAAAAAAAATGACACCACAAAATGATTCAAAAAGAAAAATAATAAATTGAACGTCACGAATATTTAAAAAATCTATTTCTCTGAGAAAGAGATGCTTAAGAGCAGACAAAGTCAAGCTACAGACTGGAAAACATTGTTTGCAAAACAACTTAGGATCTTTATCCAGAATTTATAAAGGGATCTCAAAATTGAAAAAAAAAATTAGGAAGAACACTTTTTAAATGGACAGAATATACCTCACCAAATTAATGTATGCATGTTAAATAAATCCATGAAAATTTTTTTCTACAATATTCGCCATTAGAGAAAAGCAAATTAAAAGCACAGTAAGATGCAACTTTTGAGAATAGATTTTTAAAACTAGATTAAAAAAATAACATTGACATTACTAAGCACCAGCAAGGATATTTGAACTCTCGTGCATCACCCCAGTGAATGTAAAGTTGAACAGTCACTGTGCGGAAAGACTCTAATTTCTTATATACATATACGCTTATCATTGGACTCAACAATCCCATCCTTGAGAGAAATAAAAACATATGTTCACACGAACATCTATACATGATTGTCAACAATAGCTCTATTCTTATATGACAAAAACTGAAAACAATCCAAAGTTCTCACAGAGGTGAATGAATTAATGAACTGAGGTGCATCCATGTGATGGAATACCACTAAGCAGCAAAAGAGATAGCCTATTGACACATGGAGCGATTCGGAAAAATCTCAAAGACTGTTTACTGAGTGAGCAAAGCTGGTATCAGTAAGTTATATGCTCTATTACTTCAATTATATGACACTCTATGAAATATATGGATGTAGAGAATAGATGAGTGGTTGTCAGGGTTAGGTGTGGGAAGAGCATGTGGGAAGGGTGCTGTGGTTTTTTGTGGGGGAAGTTACGGAGCCATTCAGTATCCTGGTTATGGTGGTGACTACACAAATCTAGACGGGTAAAAATCATGGCACTGTACACCAAAAAAAGTATTATTATTTGCTATTTTTAAAAATAGAATAAAAATGGATAAAGAAGATAGCTAGGTAATTGTAAGAACATCAGAAAAAAAACTAACTTCATAAGACAGGAAGTTGCCAAGAATGAATAACAGATATTACATGTTGAAAGAGTCAAATTATCAAGATGACATAGCACCCCTTAATATGTACAAACCTAAAAGAGCTTCAAAAACACATTAGCTTAAAAAAAAACAAAACAAAGCAAAAACAAAAACAAGAGAACAGGATATGAGAAATAGTTGAAGCTACAATTATATTTGGAGGCTTCATCATTCCTCTCGGTATAAATAATCAAATAATTAGAAAATGAGGCCTGAAAAAGAATACCAACCACGTTGATTTACTTGGTATTTATAAAACACTCCAACAGCAAAATGTACATTCTTTTCAGGTGCACTCGGAACATTCACACAGTTCATAAAACAACACTTGACAAATTAAAAAAAAATGAAAATTATATATTTCTCTATCCATAATGGAATTAAAGCAAAGAATAGAACTAAAGAGGTATGTAAAAAGTCAAATTTTTGGAAACTAAGCAACACATTTTTACCAACCCTACTTGAAAGAAATTATTGAGGGAAGTTAGGAAATTTCCAACTAAATGCAAATGAAAACAGGACACATTGGAATTTAAGGGATTTAGCTAATGCTATGCTTAAAGGTAAATTTGTCATTAAATACTTTTATTAGGCATAAAAAGGACCCAAGTCACTATTCTAATATTTTACCTAAAGTATAAAAAGAAAAATAAATTCAACCCAAGTAATGCAGAAGAATGGGAATAATATAGATAAGAGCAGAAATCAATGAAATTGAATCTAGAAAAACAATGGCTGTTAAAGGAAACAAAACCGGTTCTTTGAAAAGATCAGAGAAGCTAAAATATCTGCTATTGTTCTGAGAGATTAAAATTTAAAAAGGTTGTTGAGAAGCAATGGTGTAGACATAGCTAAAAGTATAGGGAACTATATTTAGAGAAAGGGATATATCATGGAAGAGCTTTCAGAATGTGCAAAAATGACAAGAACGTGTCAAATAATCAATAATAATCTTGGCGTGTGTTATCATTTTCCTTTGGTTTATATCCTTGGTGTTCCTCCCCAGCGTATGTTCAGGTAAATGCTTCCTGACTGAAAGGATGAGTGAGGGAATGATTGATTGAGTGAATGAATAGGTGAATGAATGAAGGATCACATGTGTTGATTCAAAATGTGGAATGTGAGCCCTACCTGGGCCTTTGAACTCCATGGGAGAAATTGAAAATGCTACAAATGGCTTCAGAATTTCCCTAGGAGAGACAGAACATGAGAGACTCCTAACTCTGGGAAACGAACTAGGGGTGGTGGAAGGGGAGGTGGGCAGGGGGTGGGGGTGACTGGGTGACGGGCACTGAGGGGGGCACTTGACGGGATGAGCACTGGGTGTTATGCTATATGTTGGCAAATTGAACACCGATAAAAAATAAATTCATAAAAAATTAAAAAAAAAGAATTTCCCTAGGAAACTATTACTGAGTTTGTCATTATGGACTTGTCATACCCAGGCCCAAGTACTGTCTTGGACTTGGGGATTCTCTCAATATCATGATACATGATACTTCTTGCTTTGGACTCTACATAAACCCATCAAGCTCAACAAGGAAGAGGGCCATCTCCGTGGCTTTCCATCCCCCCTGCAGATGTCTGCACCTTGGGACAATCCTCTGTCTGGGGGCAACATAGACCAGCAGTCATAGCCATAGGACATCTGCCCTCTAGGGTACCAACAGCTCACGATCGGTGGGGGGCAGCCTGAGCCAGGGACGACGCCTGGACCTATTTCAAGGCATTCCCACACCCAGCCCTTTACACTGCAGAGTTTCTGAGGTGCCTAGTCCCAGGGCACTACCCCTCCAACCCCACCCCTCCTTGCAGCTGCACACTCCCTTCCCCTGCTCTCTAGTGTTTCTGGTCTGTCTCAACCCAGACGTCCGTCACCACCTCCACTCACTCACATAGCCCCGCCTCTACAGAGGGGCCCACTGTGCACAGGGAGGCACATCCCAGCCTCCAGCAGGCACCAAGGCAGCTCCCAGCCCTGGGACCCTGGCAAGGGTGCACCGGACCCTCGTACTGAAGAGGACTCAAGAGCGTTGCTCAGCCAAATGATGCAGGGAGCAGCTGTGCTCTTCCTGACAGAACTCAGGGTGGCCCTAAGGTAGGGGCTGGTGTCTGGCTTGCGGCAGGGCCACTCCTCCAGTTGACCCCTTTGCTCAGACCTCTCTGAGACTTGCAGCCCGTAATGAGGATTCTGAGATCTCCCAAAGCTATTCATGTAAGATGTCCTGTACAGCCTTCACTCCGCACTCAACACCCAGATTCCTAACCAACTTCGACAGAAGGAATTAGTTTCTCAGAGCCCCAAAGTGCCTTGGCTCAGGGCCTTTTTGCTTGATTGCTCCCATCTGGAGGCTCATCTCCTCACTCTTTTTTTCTTCTTCTGTAGCTCTTGGAGGACATCTCACCATCTCCCTGATATGATAGCTGCACCTAGCCTCTCCTGTTCTTTGGGTAGAGGTCTGTCCTGCTGACCCTAGGATCCCCACCAGTAAAACAGAGCCTTCCAAGGAGGAGGCTAAAGAGATGTTTAGTGAATGAAAGCGTCAGTGAGCAGGGACTTTCATCTATCAATATTTCATCTGGGCAGCCCCGGTGGTGCAGCGGATTAGCGTCGCCTGCAGCCTGGGGTGTGATCCTGGAGACCCGGGATCGAGTCCCACGTCAGGCTTCCTGCATGGAGCCTGCTTCTCCCTCTGCCTGTGTCTCTGCCTCTCTCTCTCTCTCTCTCTCTCTCTCTCTCTCTCTGAATAAATAAATAACAAATCTTAAAAAAAAAAGATTTCATCTACTTTCTTGACTAGACCAAGCAAATCCAAGTATATCTTTCTAATTTTCCAGGATGGTGGACTGAAAGGTCTAAGCAAACCCAAGGATCAGCTATCCTTTACATTCTCCCTCTGTTTATTGAACCCTATGCTTTCCTGCTCAGCTCTTTCACATTTCAAAAGAAATTTCTATTCCAATGTTATTTTGTACCAGATCCCTCAAAAGCTGGGAAATTTCCCAAATTTTTGCAAAATATTGAAACTGTTATTCTTAAACCTGAAAAAAACAGCAATAAATGCATTAGCAATGTCATTCAGAACTTAGAGTCTTTAGGGAATTAAACTTTTCTTTAAAAAGAGACATTTGAAAAATACCAAAAGAAAAGAAAAAAAAAAAAAAGAAATCTTCCAAGTTACCCATACAGAATAGGAACACAAAGTTGTGCACTGTGTTCTCCCCAGCCTGACCCTGACTCTCCTCTAAATCAGAAGCAGGACTGCCCTCTTCAAATACAGAGTGAATATTTGGGCTCACTCTTCAGTCAGGCCCGGGAATCTGGGGAATGATTCTATGCAAGGAACATGCAGTAGTATTATCCATGGAGCCAATTCTGGTTTGAGCCCTCACTTCCTCATCTCTTAAAGCCCCCTCATACCAGCATGAGACGGAAGTGGAGTTAGTCCCTTTGACCTTGGCCAAAAATTCCAGCACTTTCATCTTACTGGTGTCAGCATGAGTCCTGGGACCCCACAGGAATTCATAGCATGGAGGATCCCTGTTAGGCATCTCCAGGTAATTCTCCTGCACCCAATCTCTGGTGATGAGCTTCCTGGGCTCCCCATAAATGAAATTCTCCCTCCCAGCATACACTCCCATTATATTCAGAAAATCCCAGATGTCTTCCTCAAGGGCACAATTGCCCTCCATGAAGATCACACCCAGGATGATTATCAGGAGACCGTTATTAAGCATGCTCTGGTTGTCACTAAGCATCTCCTCATGGGTAAGCTCCAATGAGTTGACAAGGACATAGAAGTGGGTGGTTGGGTCCACCTCCTTCACATCAATGCAAGAGATCACCTCCAAAAACTTAGAAGCTTTCTTGAAGACCACAGGGAGTTGTTTCTTGTACCTTTTAATGACAACCTTCAGCACTTCTACCTTTGTGATGGGCTCCTTCAATTGATGCTTGAAGATCATGAAATGCACCAAATCAACCACTTTCTCATATAGTGGGTCTCTAGGCAAAGATGCAATGTCTGTTGATGTCTTCAGTGAACTTGTATCTTCTTCTCCTGGGCTGTCTGAGACTCCATCTGATGTGCTCCATGATGTGGATAAGGAGCAGGAGCTCTGAGGACTCTGGAGAGGACTCAGTGTTGCAGCAGGCTTCTCTTCCTTCTCCTCCTCTAGGAAGACTGGGATCACAGGAGAGGAACACAGGGAGGAGGCAGTGGAGGGGTAGGAGAAGTTAAAAGAGCAAGAGGACATAGAGGAAGTCTCTTTCTTCACCTCAGCTATGAGAACATGTGATACTTCCAGGTCCTGTATCTCGCTCTGGGCCTGAATGTCTGGCTCAAATGTGAGATGTAGATGCTTTGAAGAGCAAGGCATGATGACTCTTCTTGGCAGCAGCAAGTAGAAGTGTGAGCAGGATGGTAGGAGATGGGGTATCACGGTCTGGAGGAGAGAAGGAGAGGGTCAGCAGCCTCAGCAGAGCAAAACATCTTTGGCAGCTCTGCACAAAGGCTGATTTACAGGTTTCCTCTTTAGGGGGTGCTCTAGGACCCCAAAGGCCTTCTGGACTTTGAGTCACTTTGTCCCTTAAGATCCTATCAGAGGTTGTGATAAATCTCCTCAGGTTGTAACCAACCTAGGAAGCCTAGGATTCTTGAGTTGACTGTAGGCAGATGGTATCAGGCACTGTGGGCTCCTCTCTGTTCTGGCACGAGTAGATCCCTTTGTAGACATCCACTCTAAACCTTGAATCCTGGCACTGCATGGGCCCCTTCTGTTGTGCTGACCTAAGGATCCATCCTTTATTTTTTTTATTTTTTATTTTTTTGTATATTTTTTATTGGAGTTTGATTTGCCAACATACAACAAAACACCCAGTACTCATCCCGTCAAATGCCCCCCTCAGTACCGGTCACCCAGTCACCCCATCCCACAGCCCACCTCCCCTTCCACTACTCCTTTTTTTTAAATAATAAATTTATTTTTATCGGTGTTCAATTTGCCAACATACAGAATAATACCCAGTGCTCATCCCGTCAAGTGCCCCCCTCAGTGCCCGTCACCCATTCACCCCCACCCCCCGCCCTCCTCCCCTTCCACCACCCCTAGTTCGTTTCCCAGAGTTAGGAGTCTTTATGTTCTGTCTCCCTTTCTGATATTTCCCACACATTTCTTCTCCCTTCCCTTATATTCCCTTTCACTATTATTCATATTCCCCAAATGAATGAGAACATACACTGTTTGTCCTTCTCCGATTGACTTACTTCACTCAGCATAATACCCTCCAGTTCCATCCATGTTGAAGCAAATGGTGGGTATTTGTCGTTTCTAATGGCTGAGTAATATTCCATTGTATACATGTTTACCAGAGTTAGGAGTCTCTCATGTTCTGTCTCCCTTTCTGATTTTTCCCACTCATTTTCTCTCCTTTCCCCTTTATTCCCTTTCACTATTCTTTATATTCCCCAAATGAATGAGACCATATAATGTTTGTCCTTCTCTGATTGACTTATTTCACTCAGCATAATACCCTCCAGTTCCATCCATGTTGAAGCAAATGGTGGGTATTTGTCATTTCTAATGGCTGAGGAATATTCCATTGTATACCTAGACCATGTCTTCATTATCCACTCATCTTTCAATGGACATTGAGGCTCCTTCCACAGCTTGGCTATTGTGGACATTGCTGCTATAAACATCAGGGTGCAGGTGTCCTGGCATTTCATTGCATCTGTATCTTTGGGGTAAATCTCCAGCAGTGCAATTGCTGGGTCATACAGTAGCTCTATTTTTAACTCTTTCAGGAGCCTCCACACAGGTTTCCAGAGTGGCTGTTCCAGTTCTCATTCCCACCAACAGTGAAAGAGGGTTCCCCTTTCTCCACATCCTCACCAACGTTTGTTGTTTCCTGCCTTGTGAATTTTCCCCATTCTCACTGGGGTGAGGTGGTATCTCCTTGTGGTTTTGATTTGTATTTCCCTGATGGCCAGTGATGCGGAGCATTTCCTCATGTGCTTGTTGGCCATGTCTATGTCTTCCTCTGTGAGATTTCTGTTCATGTCTTTTGCCCATTTCATGATTGGATTGTTTGTTTCTTTGCTGTGGAGTTTAATAAGTTCTTTATAAATCTTGAACTAGCCCTTTATCTGATACGTCATTTGCAAATATCCTCTCCCATTCTGTAGGTTGTCTTTTAGTTTTGTGGACTGTTTCTTTTGCTGTGCAGAAGCTTTTCATCTTGATGAAGTCTCAATAATTCATTTTTGCTTTTGTTTCTCTTGCCTTCATGGATGTATCTTGCAAGAAGTTGCTGTGGCCAAGTTCAAAAAGGGTGTTGCCTGTGTTCTCCTCTATGGTTTTGATGGATTCTTGTCTCACATTGAGATCTTTCATCCATTTTGAGTTTATATTTGTGGCTGGTATAAGAGAATGGTCTAGTTTCATTCTTCTGCACGTGGCTGCCCAATTTTCCCCGCACCATTAATTGAAGAGACTGTACTTTTTCCAATGGATAGTCTTTCCTGCTTTGTCGAATATTAGTTGGCCATAGAGTTGAGGGCCCATTTCTGGATTTTTTACTCTGTTCCATTGATCTATGTGTCTGTTTTTGTGCCAGTACCACACTGTCTTGATGACCACAGCTTTGTAGTACAACCTGAAATCTGGCATTGTGATGCCCCCGGCTCTGGTTTTCTTTTTCCATATTCCTCTAGCTATTTGGGGTCTTTTCTGATTCCACACAAATCTTAAGATGATTTGTTCCAACTCTCTGAAGAAAGTCCATGGTATTTTGATAGGGATTGAATTAAACGTGTAAATTGCCCTGGGTAGCATGGACATTTTCACAATATTAATTCTTCCAATCCATGGAATATTTTTCCATCTCTTTGTGTCTTCCTCAATTTCTTTCGGAAGTGTTCTGTAGTTTTTAGGGTATAGATCCTTTACTCTTTGTTTAGGTTTATTCCTAGGTATCTTATGCTTTTGGGTGAAATAGTAGATGGGATCGACTCCTTAATTTCTCTTTCTTTAGTCTCATTGTTAGTGTACAGAAATGCCCCTGATTTCTGGGCATTGATTTTGTATCCTGCCACACTGCCGAATTGCTGTATGAGTTCTAGCAATCTTGGGGTAGAGTCTTTTGGGTTTTCTAGGTACAGTATCATGTCATCTGCGAAGAGGGAGAGTTTGACTTCTTCTTTGCCAATGTGAATGACTTTTATTTCTTTTTGTTGCCTGATTGCTGAGGCTACTACTTCTAGTACTATGTGGAATAGCAGTGGTGAGAGTGGACATCCCTGTTGTGTTCCTGATCTTAGGGGAAAGGCTGCCAGTGTTTCCCCATTTGAACTATTAGTTACTCCTGGGTGGTGGGTTCCATTAGTCCTTACTCAGACTCCATACCTTGACTCCTGCTTGAGCTTGGGCTTCCTCCCTCTACTGACCTGATTTTGCCACCTCAGACCAAGGTCCTCACCTCTCCTGGGTGCCCTAGGGAAAATCAGATGATTCTGCTCATGGCCACCATGTCCTAGAGCTAACATTGGGAGGCATGACTAGATTGTGTGAGGCCTTCCTTTGTTACTGTAGAGTACCCTCTGTCCTCCCTCAAGATACTAATATTCGAATCAGGCAAGGCTTCAGCCATACCACTTTCTGCTGACTTCACTGTGGCCTCTCAGCCAAGGCCTTAGCTCTCTAAGATACTACTCACCACTGATAGAAGTGAGAGAACACCACATCTGGCCACCATAGGTCCAAACATGGCTGACAGCAGGTGCAGAGCAAGGTTTCTGTGCCCCCCCATTTGCAATGGGAAGTCCCATTACATATCCTCAAGGTCACCATATTTCCTCTTGGCAAGATCTGTATTCCCTCTGCTGCTGTATACCCTCTGCTGAGGTGAGGATGTGTCTTTCAGGCCAAAGCACTCATCTCCTTTGTCAAGGTGAGGACTATAAGGGAGGATTTAGGGATGTTCTAACCCATATAGAGGGGATCCAGGCCTTTTCTGTCTCTAATTTCACAAGAAATCAGTGTTAGAATTATGAAAGAGGTATCTTCTGCCTGAAATCCATGCACAAGTCTTCTCAGAGATGACCCTAGAGCAAGTTTCCGTGAGGTGAAAGATTTCCTTTGTCTTTCCTTTAGGTCTTCACATAGCCATCTATGTGCAACTGCAACTCCTCTACTTAATTCTTACTCTACTTAATTCCTACTCTACTTAATCCGATGAGGCACCATTCAAAGAATGCCTCACATCTCTCAGACTTCCAAGGTGGAAGACAGGAAATGTATTCAGGGACTGTCCCTAGGGCCTCCAAGACTGACTGCAGGAGGAAAAAAGGACTGTGTTACCCCCTATGTGCTGAGAGGTCCTTTCACCCATTCTTCAGAATTCATACCTTTGCTGACCTGACTCAGCACTCCACCCCACTCCCAAAATGAAGCTGTGCTTCTCTCATACTCCTAAGAAGAAGGTCAGAAGCCAAGATGGAAGCCAGGATACACTACAGCTAGTTACCTCTACCCAAGCATCCTAGAGTTAACAGTAAAGACAAATGTGGATTCTGTATGCCCCTCTGTGTTCTAGGTTGGTAAATACCCTGAGTTGTCTTCAAGGTTTTTATGTTTACTCCAGACAGGGCCTGAACCTTCTCGCTCTGCTGGCCTGAAGATATCTCCCTCAGAACAAAGTTGCCACTTTCCTGAGACTCCCAAAGAGGAAGCGAAGGAGTCAGGAGCTTCTGCTTATCAACCCTGCCCAGGGCCTTCCGGTGCTGACAGCATGAACAGGTGTCTGTGGGTCCTCCTTACACAGGGTCTTGTTGGTGACTCCTAGCAGGGCCTGGGGCCCTCACTTTTCCTACCTCAAGCCAGGCCCCTCTGAACAAGTCTCTCATCTCTCTTTAATCCCCCCACTAGAAGCCCTATTCATTACCGTGGCTGAAGGTATGGGGAGCTGGATTGTATGGGGCCTCCTCTATGTGGGGTGGGGTTTTCTGCAGTCATCCTTCAGAGTCCTAATCTTGATGACTGGCATATCATGGGGCTCCCCTATTCTTCCAAAGATTACAGTGTGACACAGGTCAAAAGGGATTAATTTGCTATGGAAAAGCCTGACAAATACTCCCTCATCAAACTAACATCATGAGTGATAAATCATGTTGATAGTGTGCACCATGGATATGATGTGACTAGAATGGTCCTTCGCCTTTTTCATCTTTCTCCCAAAAACTGTAATCCTTGTCTAATCAGATAAATCCTAATTGTGGGACATTCTACAAAACACCTGATCCCTATTCCTAAAAACTGTCAAGGTTACCAAAAAGAAGGAAACTCTCAGAAACTGGCAATGCCAAGAGGAGTCAAAAGAG